GCTGTTAAACTTTCAGTAACCTTCTATTGTACACAGCGGAAATAGCCAGAATTACAAAAGAAAACAAATATATATATATATATTATATATATATATATATATATATATATATATATATATATATATATATATATATTTGTCACTGCCCAGGTTATTTTGGGTCAATTTATGTATATTTAGTGGCGAGTCTTAGTACAAGTGAGGTAAAGTTAATTTCGTAATTGACGTTTAGGTTAATTATAGCGACGTGTACTGTGTGTGTGTGTGTGTTTAAATGTCGGGAAGTTATTGTTACAATGAATCTGTATTGTTGTAATACTGATGTATTCTTGGAGATACAATGTAGCCCAAATCTCTTTGTTTCCCCTTTCCTCTGTGTATAGATGTACTCGCCTAATTGTGGTTGCAGGTGTCGAGACTCAGCTCCTGGCCCCGCCTCTTCACTGAATGCTACTAGGTTCGCTCTCTCCCTGCTCCGTGAGCTTTATCATACTTCATCGTAAAGCTATGTATGGTTCCTGCCTCCACTACCTCACTTGCTAGGCTATTCCACTTCCTGACTACTCTATGACTGAAGAAATACTTCCTAACATCCCTGTGACTCGTCTGAGTCTTCAGCTTCCAATTGTGGCCCCTTGTTTCTGTGTCCCATCTCTGGAACATTCTGTCTCTATCCACCTTGTCTATTCCATGCAGTATTTTGTATGTTGTTATCATGTCTCCCTTGACCCTCCTGTCCTCCAGTGTCGTCAGTCCGATTTCCCTTAACCTTTCTTCATAGAACATTCCCCTTAGCTCTGGAACTAACCTTGTCGCAAACCTTTGCACTTTCTTCAATTTCTTGACGTGCTTGACCAGGTGTGGGTTCCAGACAGGTGCTGCATACTCCAATATGGGCCTGACGTACACAGTGTACAGTATCTTGAACGATTCCTTACTAAGTTATCGGAACGCTATTCTCAGATTTGCCAGGAGACCATATGCTGCAGTGGTTACCTGGTTGATGTGTGTTTCCGGAGACATGCTCGGTGTTATGGTCACCCCAAGATCTTTCTCCTTGAGCGAGGTTTTCAGTCTTTGGCCACCTAGCCTGTACTCCGTCTGCGGTCTTCTTTGCCCTTCCCCGATCTTCATGACTTTACATTTGGCAAGGTTGAATTCAAGAGGCCAGTTGCTGGACCACGTGTCCAGCCTGTCCAGGTCTCTTTGAAGTCCTACCTGATCCTCATCTGATTTAATTCTCATTAACTTCACATCATCTGGGAAGAGGACACTTCTGAGTCTAACCCTTCCATCATGTCTTGTGTGGGTGTGTAGATGTGTGGGTGTGTAGATGTGTGTGTATGTAGATGTGTGGGTGTGTAGAAGTGTGGGTGTGTAGATGTGTGGATGTGTTGCAGGTAGCAGTATTGCATGGTGCTCCGTGTTCACAAGGTTTTTGAACTTGTTGGTGATCGTGTTCAACTCCACGGAAAACACTCGCCATTTTTCTCTGAACCAGTCGAAAGAAAACGAACTTAAGGGAAAACTTATTTCTTTTTATTCTTTTGTGTTCGTTAATGTGGAGTTGATCTCTAGTGCAAGACATGAGAGGCTCATAGCCTGGAAGAAGTTAGGATGAAGGATGGGTGGCGATGTTGTAATGGAACTAGGCTTGAGTTTTGAAGTTGGGAAGCACAGTGGCTGCACTCTGAAGGATGGTTGGGAATGTTGCAATATTGGAACCAGGCTTGAAGGTGAGAAGCACAGTGGCTGCACTCTGAAGGATGGTTGGGAATGTTGCAATATTGGAACCAGGCTTGAAGGTGGGAAGCACAGTGGCTGCACTCTGAAGGATGGTTGGGAATGTTGCAGGTCAGAGGGTCACTTGAATTCTAATGTCTGCACACTGCTAGCAAGACGGCTATTGAATGAGTGATAGTGACTGTTTTCTTCCTTGGGTCACCCTTGGTGGGGAAACGGCTGATGGGGAAGAAAAGAGTAAAAGAAAAGGTCTTCTCCATATTTTTGAAGGTGCCTTCTCATTAGAGAAGGTAGTTAATTGTTTTCTTAAGGTAATGGCATCGAAAATATGAAATTTGATGAAAAAATTACGTTACATTGGCGCGAAGTTGGCGGATTGGGCGCAATTTGCGCATAGGCGATTTCTCCCGCTGTGAGTTGGTTCTGTTACAAACTTCAAAACCCGTACCCAGTTATTTCGCTAGTATGCCTTCCGTTATATCGATTGAGTGCAAGAAACTGACCATTCAATAATCAGAATTACGCGTAAAGTGCTCACAAGTCTGTAATTGACAATTGCACACTAAATTCACCAATTTAAAAACAATAACCAAAAAAACCATACCCCCGGCCGGGATTGAACCCGCGGTCATAGTCTCAAAACTCCAGCCCGTCGCGTTAGCCACTAGACTTAGCTAGTGGCTAACGCGATGGGCTGGAGTTTTGAGACACTCTGACCGCGGGTTCAATCCCGGCCGGGGGTATGGTTTGTTTGCAATCGTGTCATTACGATTTCTTAAGTCAATAGCCAAAAATAAACACTGTAGAAATTGTCCTCCATTTTGAATCCATCATCACACATACAAAAAAATATGTAAAGTTTTACTCTATTTAATAATTGACGGGGAAGGGGGTCCCATCATTCCTCATAAAAAATCTAATAAAATCGACAATTTCCACTACTTTGAGGCCTATTTCAAGCTACTTCCTGTCTGAGAGCGACCAAAAATCCTCTCTCACGCTAATATATCTCTCAGTTGATACTAAGAAACTGTCACTATAACCACAAACACTACCTTAGAAAACACCTCAGAGTCGCTACTTTAAACCAGACACCAGGTCAGAAGTTTGCACTTCCCATCATCCATTGTCTGGGGCGGGAATTTTCTTTTATACTGTACGCACCTTCCACAGACCCATTGTCTCGTGTCCAGGACAAAATTGATCTCGCACAGCATATTTGAGGCCACTATGCTTAAAATATAGATCGAGAGAGAGAGAGAGAGTGAGAGAGTGAGAGAGAGAGAGAGAGAGTGAGAGTGTAGATCCACGTGGGAGATAGGGATAATTATAGAATTAATGTACACTCTTTGTTTTTATTGGCTGTATTGATAAATAAACTCAGTAAATTACATAAACTGTTTTTGATTGAATCTGTTGATGGTAGACATTATTTTGCAATTAGTAAGTTGAGGCAAGGGGATTGGTTTCCCTACCTACCTGGAGTCTACCTGGAGGTTACCTGGAGGTTATTCTGGGGATCAACGCCCCCTCGGCCCGGTTCACGACCAGGCCTCCCGGTGGATCATGGCCTGATCAACTAGGCTGTTACTGCTGGCCGCACGCAGTCCAACGTACGAGCCACAGCCCGGCTGATCTGGCACTGACTTTAGGTATCTGTCCAGCTCTCTCTTGAAGGCAGCCAGGGGTTTATTGGTAATTCCCCTAATGCTTGATGGGAGGCTGTTGAACAGTTTTGGGCCCCGGACACTTATGGTGTTTTCCCTTAGTGTACCAATGGCGCCCTTACTTTTAATTTGGGGTATTTTGCATCGCCTGCCCAGTCTTTTACTTTCGTAGGGAGTGATTTCTGTGTGCAGATTTGGGACCATTCCTTCCAATATTTTCCAAGTGTAGATTATGATATATCTCTCCCTCCTGCGTTCCAACGAGTACAAGTCAAGTGCTTCCAAGCGTTCCCAGTAGTTAAGGTGCTTGACAGAACTTATACGTGCAGTAAAGGATCTCTGTACACTCTCTAGATCTGCAGTTTCACCTGCTTTGAATGGAGATGTTAATGTACAACAGTATTCCAGCCTAGAGAGAACAAGTGATTTGAAAAGGATCATCATTGGCTTGGCATCTCTCATTTTGAATGTTCTCATTATCCATCCTATCATTTTCTTTGCACTTGTGATCGTGGCACTGTTGTGATCCTTGAAAGTCAGATCCTCAGACATTACTACTCCCAGGTCCCTTACATTATTTTTCCGCTCTATTGTATGGCCAGAGTTTGTAGTATACTCTGTTCTAGCTATTATCCCCTCCAGTTTTCCATAATGGAGTAGTTGGAATTTGTCCTCACCGAACATCATATTGTTTTCTGTTGCCCACTGGAAAACTTTGTTTATATCTTCTTGGAGGTTAACCGCGTCCTCAGCAGATGACAGCCTCATGCAGATCCTAGTATCGTCTGCAGAGGATGATATGGTGCTGTGGGTTACATCTCTGTCTATGTCTGATATGAGGATGAGGAACAGGATGGGGGCGAGTACTGTGCCTTGTGGAACAGAGCTCTTCACTATGGCAGCCTCTGATTCAACTCAGTTGACCACCACTATTTGTGTTCGATTGGTTATGAAGTTGAAGATCCATCTCCCCTCTTTGCCACTTATTCCTGTAGCACGTATTTGGTGCGCTAGTACGCCATGATTGCACTTGTCAAATGCTTTTGCAAAGTCTGTGTATATTACATCTGCATTCTGATTTTCTTCCAGTGCATCCAAGGCCATATCATAGTGATCTAGTAGTTGTGAGAGGCAGGAGCGACCTGCCCTGAACCCGTGTTGCCCTGGATTGTGCAGTTTTTGGGAATCCAGGTGATTTGCAATCCTGCTTTTTAGCACTCTTTCAAAGATTTTTATGATGTGGGACGTCAGAGCTATTGGTCTATATTTCTTAGTTAATGCTTTGCTGTCACCTTTATGGAGTGGGGCTATATCCATTGTTTTAAGTGACTGTGGAATTTCACCCATGTCCAAGCTCCTCCTCCATAGTGTACTTAGGGCACGTGAGAGGGTGACATACCTGTGGTCTGTTTCAAGAGTTTTTCTACCTTCTTGTTGATTTCCTAGAAATAAATCTAAATGCTGTATTGTACTGTATTAAGCTTCATTGAATTATTCTAGGTTAAATTCTGATATATTTTTGGTGAGTGTAAAATTCATGTACTTAATGCTAACTTGGTAGAAATTTAAAACTTGTTAATTGTGTTTCAGGGAGTGGTGGAGGAGGGTCGGGGCCGGGCCACCACCTCCTCCAAGGTCTCCAAGATTGCTGGTATGTTCCAAGGAGGAGGCAGCAGCAGCGGCGGCGTCCGGCCAACTTCTGATGATGACTCCTCCACCGCTGCCTCTTCTTCCTCCTCCACGACCGGTGGTGGCAGTGATGGTCCCTCCCATGCCACTGTAGTGCGCACCGAGTCCCATCTGGCCCGTTTCAACAATGCCCGCGCCCTTTTCGAGAAGATGGGTCAGGGGGAGGTCTCACAGCCCAAGGTGGCCATTCCCACCAAACTCGCCCCCTCAGTCGTTCCCACCAAAGTCGTGCCAACAGCCGTTCCTGCCAAACTCGCACCAGTGGTCATTCCTGCCAAGACCGAGATGAAGGTGGTTTCAAGATTTGAGGCCAAGATGGATACTGTGCCATCGGAGGCTAGGAAGTCGTCTGTCTCCACTACCACAACCACCACCATCACAACCACCACCACTACCATGCAGGCAGGTGTAACGTCACTCCACCTACGGCGGACATTCGGGGATGGGTACAGTAGTGAAGAGCGAGGTCGAGGTCGCAGCCCACGGGAAGAGTCCATCTCTCCCGCCAGATCGGTGGGAGAGGCATCATCTTCCTCTTCTCGCTCGACGTCACCAAGTCCTGCCCGCACCACCAATGGTCATGCTCACCACCAGGATGTGGGTGGAGGTTTAGTGGGCATTGGCCTTGGTGTGGCGGGTCTAGGGATGCGACGACCTGGATCAGCATCCAGTCGTTCACTGTCAACCTCCAGCACAGAGTCTGAGCCACCCCGGCGGTGGCCTCCCAAGACCTCTGACTGCAAGTTAATCACCAGGCCAGAGGCCTTCAAATCAGAGCTTTCCACCTTGGAACTCAGGAAGGCTAAACCGGAGAAGCCATTGAAGCCAGAAAGCCTGGAACGTAAGTTTTCAACTCACGAGCAACACCAAGAGTTGATTGCCAGGCACAAGAACTGGTTTCAGAGCTTCTCCAAAAACCGCTCGCCAGCCTCCTCCCCTAGTAAGTCTGAACCACGGCCAACCTCCCCCTCCAAGGCTGAGGTGATGCCTTCCCTACTTGCCAGGTCTGAGGAAGGAAGACCCACTTCACCCTTAAAGGTTGAGGTGTTACCCTCCGTGCTAGAAGGGAGACCCATTTCACCAGTTAAAACTGACTGGAGGTCTACACATGTGACCAAGCTTGATCTAAGGTATGTGTCAGATAACTAGTTTTGTTTGATTATCCCTTTTTATTTTACACAGATCAGTTTTACAGGCTAAGAACTGTTATCCTACCTCAGCTCATTTCAGAGCCCAGTCTTATCTAAGGTATATTATCTGGGATGCCACCCACAACTACTTACTGCTTACTACTTATCTACTTACTGCTAGGTGAACAGGGACAGCAGGTGTAAAGAAACATGCCCAGTGTTTCTACCCATGCCAGGGATTGAACCACAAACCCTCGTTATGTGGGGTGAGTGTGCTTACAACTGAGCTATGGAACAGTGAGTTGAGTATATTCTTGTGAAGATACATATGTGAGAGTATATTTAGATGGCTGCTAATTGCCTAAGCCTCTTAACCCTTTGAGGGTCGACAGGCCCTCTCCGAAACTCGTTCTCAGGGTCGGCCAAATTTAAAAAAAAAAAAAATTATTTTCTCTTATGAAAAGATAGAGAATCTTTTCCCGATCATAACGACACCAAAAGTTTGAAATTTGATAGAAAACTTACGGAATTATGCTCTCGCAAAGTTAGCGGTCTCGGCGATGTTTACGGATCGGCGATTTTGCCCACTTTGAGCCCCATTTTCGGCCAATTTCACTGTACTGGTCGACAAAAAAACATGAATATTTCGCTAGAACTCCATTTTTTCTATCGAATGGGTGCAAGAAACCACCCATTTATAAATTCAACTATCCAGTACAGTGGTCAGAATTTAGCAATTTTGCCAATTTCACACAAATTTCAAAAGATGCCAATTTCGGAATAGGGTCCAGAATAAACAAGAAAGACATTCCTGGCACTAAAATGACATTTCCTCTAGTCATTAGTCACGTCTCAAGGCCCCTCTTATATTCTTTTGCTTTCCACTTTGAATTTTTATTCTCACAAAAAATATAAGATTTACTGTTATGCAGACTACTCCATTAGTGTAAAAAATGGTATAAATATTATTGGTGCACTTGTGAAAGAATATTAGACTCACCAGTTGACGTGTATTGCACGCTTGGCACGATTTGTTTACTTTTGAAGTTTGGTAAAAATCGAACATTTCTGCTACTTTGAGCTCAATTTCAAGGCACCTTTCATTGTAAAACCAGTCAAAATCATCTCAATTTCAGTAATATGTCTTCCATTCTATAAAATGAGACCAAGAAAACTAGAATACAACAATAAATACCATACGAAAATACACTGCAAAGTCGCTGATTTATTAAAAAAAAATGGAAAAAGTTTTTTTTTTCTCATTATGCACTGTGTGCTGCAGGATTTTTTTTAGACTGTGCACACTGACCACATAGACCCATTCTTTCATATGAAGGCCTACCAGCTTTCTCCCACTAGATTTGAGGTCGCTAGAATTTATGAGTACTAGTACGTCAAAAACCCCTACGCGTAAGACGTACTAGTACGACGAAAACCCTCAAAGGGTTAATATTCAAAACCACCACCACCTTTCTTGGACTTTTCCTTTCCTTTTCATCAGTCCCAGAATTATACATCATCATGATCAACCTGTCGTGCTTCATTCTTCTCTCCAAATTATACTTTTCATACCATCATATCATGTACTTTTTATTCTGTGAGTAATGTTTTTTTCAATGACCTGGCCATAATTTATACAGGTCTATGAAAGATGAGGTGAATCATAGAATTTATGAGAGGAAAAAGGTGATTGGTGCACTTAGGAGTCTGTGGAGACAAAGAACTTTGTCCATAGAAGCAAAGAGGGGAAAGTATGAGAGTATAGTTATATCAATGCTCTCATATGGGTGTGAAGCATGGGCAGTGAATGGTGCAACAAGGAGAAGGCTGGAAGCAGTGGAGATGTCATATCTGAGGGCAGTGTGTGATGTGAATATAATGCAGAGAATTCGTAGTTTGGAAATTAGAATGAGGTGTGGGATTACCAAAACTTTTATCCAGAGGGCTGAGGAAGGGTTGAGAGGATGGAACAAAATAGAATGACTTCAAGAGTGTATAAATCTGTAGTGGAGGGAGGGCAGGGTAGGTGTCGGCCTAGGGGGGGGGCATAAAGAAGGTTTTGTGTGCGAGGGGCTTGGATTTCCAGCAAGCATGCGTGAGCGTGTTAGATAGGAGTGAATGGAGACAAATGGTTTTTAGGACATGATGTGATGTTGGAGTGTGAACAAGGTAACATTTAGGAAGGGATTCAGGGAAACCGGCAGGCCGGACTTAAGTCCTGTACATGGGAAGTACAGTGTCTGCACTCTGAAGGAGGGGTGTTAATGTTGCAGTTTTATAACTGTAGTGTAAGCGCACCTCTGGCAAGACAGTGATGGAGTGAATGATGAAAGTTTTTATTTTTTGGGCCACCCTGCCTTGGTGGGAGACGGCCAATTTGTTAATAAAAAAAAAAAATTATACAGTAGAAGGAGTTACTAGCCCACTCCTGGCATTTTAGTCTCCTCTTACAACATGCATAGCATATGGAGGAAGAATTTTTTTCCATTTCCCCATGGATGAGTAATGTTAATATCATATTTAGATCTTGGAAATAGCGTGCCTTTAGCCTTCTCATTGCAGCTCCTCTGAAAGACCATGCCTCATATTCGTACACAAGTTTTGGCATCACTATACTCTGGTACATTCCTTGTTATGCCTCCACTGATAACGTTCATTGTCTCCACAGATGCCTCGGTGTATCACCCACCTTTTCATCACCCTCCTTCATCTGTTCAATGGTTCACACTAACTTATTATTTGGATGGTTTCCAATCTTGGATGTTAACAAATGTTCCATAACCAGGTGATGCAGTGAGTGAACAAGCCTCTAGACCTGGGCTTCTTAACTGTTATTATTATTATTACAGACCCTTAATGGATTGCCCAATATGTCTCCATATTCCTTTTGCCACACTGTCCAAATCATTATAATGATCACTAGTCCAGTTAGGTACTTCAAAAAAATGTCAGTAGCTTGGTTTTACTTTACATATGGATAGTTATGAACAGAACAACTGATAGTCTATTCGGATCTAACAACAACTTTTCTTTTATAAATTTTCGGAGATAAGGTACCATACCCCCGTTATTTAGTTCCCAGACCCCTAAGGGGTGTGGATACTCCCAGTTAAGAACCCCTGCTCTAGACCCTGTATGGAATTTCACCATTTTTAAAGATTTCATTCCCTAATATCATAAATGTACTGTGAACTACAGACATTATTGCATCTGGGATTTCATGGGTGGTGTGGGAGAAGGCCAGCTTTGCAAAAGTTGGGGGGGGGGGCTTAAAAGTTATAAGATGCTGAAAATTAAAAAGAAACAATTTAGAAAATATAATTTTCAGTATGTGTGTGATATTATTTAAATTGTTGTAGTCACTGGTCAAAATATTAAAGTGAATGTTGGCTATTAACCCTTAAATGGTCCAAACGTATATATATACGTTTTTTCAACATCTGAAAGTATGTAAAACATGTAGATCTTTTTTTTTTTTTTACATGTGAAAACGTGTAAAAAAACTTTTATCTACATTTTTTTTGTTATATTTGAAAATATGTAAAAAAAAGTAGATCTACTTTTGTAGCACTACGAATTTGAGCGTCTATCTGTTTGGACCGTTTAAGGGTTAACCCTTAAATGGTCCAAACATATATATACGTTCTCTCGTGTATCGCCATGAATATTTTGAGAATTTTTTTTTTTATAGAAAAAAAGAGCATGGGGTACCCAGGTGTCCCCAGTTTTTTTTCCATACGGTGCACACTGAGTGTGCACACAAATTCTCTCATGTATAGGTGACTCAGGCCTATCACGCCAATGTTGAATGAATAAAAAATGAGAAGTATATATACATTTGGGGCACTACACAAGAGAATGTATATATATGTTTGGACCATTTAAGGGGGGCTATATGCCTATTAACCCTCTGTGGCTGTGCTACTGACTACATAGCTAAGTACAGCCTCCCCTCACTTAATGACAGAGTTCTGTTCCTAAGACCACATCATTAAATGAATTTGTCGCTAAGTGAGGAGCATACTATAATGGTGGTGGGTTTGTGTCAGCCATCATTGATGTTGTTTTAATGTCACCTTTACACCATTCATAACATTTCTGGTATATTTTTAAATGTTTATACAGTAGTGTACTGTATATTGAAATAAACAGAATAGAGGAAATCAGCTCTAATATACAGTATTTAGGTATAAATACTGGTCAGAGAGCCCTTCGTAAGTCCGAGGCGTCGGTAAACTAGTGCATACATCACTAAGTGAGGAGAGGCTGTACTGTCTGACACCCCGTCCACCTATCAGAATATGGCATAGTTTTGTGATTTATGAGATAGTGTAAAAAAAAAAAGTTTGTCTCTGTTAAATAGCAGTTTTAAAGAACATAAGAAAAGGGGAACACTGCAGCAGACCTACTGGCCCAAGCTAAGATGGTCCACTTCACATCCACTCATGTACTTGTCTAACCTATTTATAAAGCTACACAATGTTTTCCTCTAATTTATTTCATCATTAAGAAATTATCTAGAGCAAAAAATATTACCCTGTATTTAACTTGTTTCAGATCCCCACGGAGTATGTCAAGCAGTGAAGAGTGTGATGGGATTGAGGAGAGAGCAAGAGAAAGAGATGAGAGATGCAGAGAGAGTGAGGAAGGCAGCAGCAGCAGCAGTCGGTCAGTGAGCGAGCAGGAGGCCTGGTCATCAGTGCTCCAGAGCAGGTATGGACCAAGAGCCAAGGATCTCCTCAGCCCCAGGTTAGTCCTGTGTGACTGTTTAGCTCTCGGTTTAGAGTTAGAGTATTGGAAATCACTGACTTGGCAGTAAGTTGTGGGTGACAGTGGAACATACTGCATAGTATTGTCACTGAAGTAAGTACAAGAGGGCCTCGTTCATACGGCTTGAAATATGGTGCCGGTCGTCCTTCCCTTATGCAACTGTTGTATGAAAAGGGCAATAACTGTGGAGCATCGGTAAAAGCACCGAACATAATGAACAAGAACAATGGCTTATCTGAAAGCCCTCCTAGGAGGGCCCCATATGTATAGCACCTATTTTCATTATTCCACAGTTTTCTTGGCTTTCAAATGAGTCATTGTTCATTAAGTTCAGTGCTTTTACAGCTTGTCCACAGTTATTGCCATTTTCGTACAACAGTTGCATAAAGGAAGGATGACTGGCACCATATTTATATCTGTATGAACAGGGCCCTCCTGTACTTTTTGTAGCTTTAAAAACAGGTTGGATAGATTAAGATTAGACCTATTGGCCCAACCAGTAGGTCTGCTGCAGTGCTGTTTATTTTTATGTATTTATGTTACAGCCATAGGATTGATTCTAGTAATATCTTTGTTCTTGTTTGTAAATATGGAGAACCGAAGAATGGTGTATCCTCAGTCCTTCGAAAATGTCGGTAAGTACGTACAGTATATAAAAAATCCTGAACTGTAAATTATGAATTGTCTAATGCTTTTGAAATTTAGTGCAGCAAATACCTCATTATGAGTTCTAGTCTATGGTTACAATTCATCTGGATCTACCTACAGAGGGTGCTAGCAGTGGCTAGCACTGAAAAATAATTACTGGGAATTGGAGCTCTAGGGTAAAACTAGCCGTGTGATATAATACATCTCTCCTTAAGACATTACTAATTTTTTTTGCAATTTATGTTTTTATTGACTTTGTTTTGTTATTATTTATTTACCATGACATTTCCTGTATGGTGATCCAGAGAGGAAACTCATTCACCATCATATATTTAATAGCTGTCTTGCTTAAAGTGCAAAGGCATCACAATAACTTCATACTAAGTACATTCGACTACATTAGTAGCAGTCAAAACAAATGCCTAATAAAACCAAATGCTTACAAATAGAGAGAGCTCAACACATGTAGGGGCACAACCCCAGGCAGGTACTGCACCACCTGAACTGCCAGTGTCTCCAGACACGGCAGTAGCTGCCCACTGTCTTGCCAGACAGGTTTGCCTCATGGCAAAGAAATTATTGGTTAACTGTATGCTTTGCTTAACTGTATAGGTAATGCATATCAATGGGCTTTCTGAATGCACACCTAAATGTCACCCATCTCTGTTCACTCCTATCAAACACGCTCACGCACGCCTGCTGGAAGTCCAAGCCCCTCGCACACAAAACCTCCTTTACCCCCTCCCTCCAACCTTTCCTAGGCCGACCCCTACCCCGCCTTCCTTCCACTACAGACTGATACACTCTTGAAGTCATTCTGTCTCGCTCCATTCTCTCTACATGTCCGAACCACCTCAACAACCCTTCCTCAGCCCTCTGGACAACAGTTTTGGTAATCCCGCACCACTCTCTTAACCTCTCTCTTTTTCTCCATATACTCTTCCCTCCTTGCATCACTTCTACTTTGTAAAAACTTCTCATATGCTAACTTTTTCTCCCTTACTACTCTCTTTACATCATCATTCCACCAATCGCTCCTCTTCCCTCCTGCACCCACTTTCCTGTAACCACAAACTTCTGCTGAACACTTTAACACTACATTTTTAAACCTACCCCATACCTCTTTGACCCCATTGCCTATGCTCTCATTAGCCCATCTATCCTCCAATAGCTGTTTATATCTTACCCTAACTGCCTCCTCTTTTAGTTTATAAACCTTCACCTCCCTCTTCCCTGATGCTTCTATTCTCCTTGTATCCCATGGTGATGATATATATATATATATATATATATATATATATATATATATATATATATATATATATATATATATATATATATATATATATATATATATATTATATATATATATATTATATATATATATTATATATATATTATATATATATATATATATATATATATATATATATATATATATATATATATATATATATATATATATATATAGAGAGAGAGAGAGAGAGAGGGGGGGGGGGGAGGGGCAGGCAGCCAGCAGCAGTAGTAGTATGGAATCCTTTACTAAGGACATTGTTGCCCACGTAGGGGTCTTCATCAAGTCGTAATTGTCTGTTTATGATTTGATGAAGTCCACCGTTTAAGTTAGTTTAATATGTTTATTATGCACCCCATACCCATCCTGTGGGCAGTAGTCAAAAGATTACAGAGGTACATAATTGGTCCAGGGACTGGACTCCAAAGTTTTGATAGCTGAGCAAGTTACAGAGGTAATGAACTCCACCGCAAGGGCAAAATGTTAATAAAGGATTCCATGTACAGTAACTGAGTTTCTCTTTTTACAAACCAGCAACTTGAAGGTTCAATATAATATTTTTTTATTATTATTATTAACACACTGGCCGATTCCCACCAAGGCAGGGTGGCCCGAAAAAGAAAAACTTTCACCATCATTCACTCCATCACTGTCTTGCCAGAGGGGTGCTTTACACTACAGTTTATAAAACTGCAACATTAACACCCCTCCTTCAGAGTGCAGGCTCTGTACTTCCCATCTCCAGGACTCAAGTCCGGCCTGCCAGTTTCCCTGAATCCCTTCATAAATGTTATTTTGCTCACACTCCAACAGCACTTCAAGTATTAAAAACCATTTGTCTCCATTCACTCCTATCAAACACGCTCACGCATGCTTGCTGGAAATCCAAGCCCCTCGCACACAAAACCTCCTTTACACCCTCCCTCCAACCTTTCCTAGGCCGACCCCTACCCCGCCTTCCTTCCACTACAGATTAATACACTCTTGAAGTCATTCTGTTTTGTTCCATTCTCTCTACATGTCTGAACCACCTCAACAACCCTTCCTCAGCCCTCTGGACAACAGTTTTGGCAATCCCGCACCTCCTCCTAACTTCCAGACTATGAATTCTCTGCATTATATTCACACCACGCATGGCCCTCAGACATGACATCTCCACTGCCTCCAGCCGCCTCCTCGCTGCAACATTCATCACCCATGCTTCACATCCATATAAGAGTGTTGGTAAAACGATACTCTCATACATTCCCCTCTTTGCTTCCAAGGACAAAGTTCTGTCTCCACAGACTCCTAAGTGCACCGCTCACCCTTTTCCCCTCATCAATTCTATGATTCACCTCATCTTTTGTAGACCCATCCGCTGACACATCCACTCCCAAATATCGGAATACAATCACCTCCTCCATACTCTCTCCCTCCAATCTGATATCCAATCTTTCATCACCTAATCTTTTTGTTATCCTCATAACCTAACTCTTTCCTGTATTCACTTTTAATTTTCTTCTTTTACCTACCCTACCAAATTCATCCACCAGCCTCTGCAACTTCTCTTCAGAATCTCCCAAGAGCACAGTGTCATCAGCAAAAAGCAACTGTGACAACTCCCACTTTATGTGTGATTCTTTATCTTTTAACTCCCTGCCTCTTGCCAAGACCCTCGCATTTACTTCTCTTACAACCCCATCTATAAATATATTGAGCAACCATGGTGACAGAGCCTCACTATCCTCATAAAAACTCTTCACTGCTTTCAGTAACCTACCTCCTATACCATACACCTGCAACATCTGCCACATTGCCCCCCTATCCACCCTGTCATACGCCTTTTCCAAATCCATAAATGCCACAAAAACCTCTTTAGCCTTATCTAAATACACTGTTCACTTATATGTTTCACTGTAAACACCTGGTCCACACACCCCATACCTTTCCTAAAGCCTCCTTGTTCATCTGCTATCCTATTTTCAGTCTTACTCTTAATACTTTCAATAATAACTCTACCATACACTTTTTAGCAATAGTCTTCAACTTGTCAGTATTCATTCTCCAACTTGTCAGCATTCATTCTTCAACTTGTAAGTTTTCTAAACTATTTACATCAATATTTTGACTGTAGAGTAGATGCGTGTTCTGTTTAAAGTAGTAATAAAGCTCTAGCCTTTTGAGCGCAAAGGAGGCAGCTGCTTTCCCTGCAAGTTTAAAGCAAAAAGCTGTATGTTGCAGTGCACTTGGAAATGGAATAATAATTAGGAAATGTTGACATATTACTAAATTAAAATCAGTAGGCATTTTTTTAACCAATAATTAAGTACTATACATTAGATAAAACTGTCTGTGCTCTGCCTAAAACTCTTATGTGGAGACAAAGAACTTTGTCCTTGGAGGCAAAGAGGGGAATGTATGAGAGTATAGTTTTACCAACGCTCTTATATGGGTGTAAGGCATGGGTGATGAATGTTGCAGCGAGGAGAAGGCTGGAGGCAGTGGAGATGTCATGTCTGAGGGCAATGTGTGGTGTGAATATAATGCAGAGAATTCGTAGTTTGGAAGTTAGGAGGAGGTGCGGGATTACCAAAACTGTTGTCCAGAGGGCTGAGGAACGGTTGTTGAGGTGGTTCGGACATGTAGAGAGAATGGAGCGAAACAGAATGACTTCAAGAGTGTATCAGTCTGTAGTGGAAGGAAGGCGGGGTAGGGGTCGGCCTAGGAAAGGTTGGAGAGAGGGGGTAAAGGAGGCATGCAGGCATGCGTGAGCGTGTTTGATAGGAGTGAATGGAGACAAATGGTTTTTAATACTTGACGTGCTGTTGGAGTGTGAGCAAGGTAACATTTATGAAGGGGTTCAGGGAAACCGGCAGGCCGGACTTGAGTCCTGGAGATGGGAAGTACAGTGCCTGCACTCTGAAGGAGGGGTGTTAATGTTGCAGTTTAAAAACTGTAGTGTAAAGCACCCTTCTGGCAAGACAGTGATGGAGTGAATGATGGTGAAAGTTTTTCTTTTTCGGGCCACCCTGCCTTGGTGGGCAGAAGAGGGGTT